GTGTGGCGCATGTACGACCACAAATGGCATGAGGTCATCAGGAGGCTCCAACACATGCATCCAAGGAGCTTCGAGCGATGTAGATTGAAGCCCACGAGCACCCCAAGACGGTTGCTCTGGAACCACCGGCGGGACTAGCCAACACAAATCCATACAGCAAATACAGCATCGACAAGATGAGATGGACCTTCTCAGCTCTTGAAAGGGTTTAGGTTTGCGACTGTTGCTTTACTTTTGGGCTCAGGGTTGGGAGACAGGCTTCAATGATGGTCATCCTATGTGCAATAATGAAAAGTAGTGTGTAAAAATATGTGGAAGGGTTGGGAAATGCGCAATGTTTGTGACATTCCTGCTAACCCTCCCACTCCAACATTCAACCTTCGCAAGCTCTGACATGCTCCGAGCCTGCGCGGCTCGCTGTTTTTACTATAAACTGAAATGAACATTGAAACATACCACGGAAATCCACGGAAGCTCTATCTTGCACGGCCATGCTTCGCGGCGCTTCGACGCTTCCACACCTCGACGCTTCGCAGCTCTGACGCTTCGCGGCTTCGACGCCTCCACGCCTCCAAGCCTCGACGCTTCGCGGCTTCCTAGCTTCGTGGCTTCGACGCCTCCACGCCTCCACGCCTCGACGCCTCGACGCTTCGCGGCTTCCTAGCTTCGCGGCTTCGACGCCGCCACGCCTCCACGCCTCGACGCTTCGTGGCTTCCTAATCTTCCTAGCTTCGCGGCTTCGACGCCTCCACGCCTCCAAGCCTCGACGCCTCGACGCTTCGCGGCTTCCTAGCTTCGTGGCTTCGACGCCGCCACGCCTCCACAATCCTGCACACCTCGACGCTTCGCGGCTTCGACGCTTCGCGGCTTCAAAGCTTCGCAGCTTCATTCCACGCTTCGCGGCTTCGACGCTTCGCGGCTTCGACGCTTCGATGCGCGTGCGCTTTTACCCGAACACCCGTGCAATGTCTTCTTGCAGCTTGAAGGTTCGATCTTGGTCAAAGCTCAGCGAGAGGTACTAATGGATATAGGTATAGTCGTGGTTCTCACATGTTCTCACGGATGTTTGCACCCTTCCATGTCACCCTTCACACTCCAAGCGGCCGTCGCACATCGACGCCAAGACTGCTGCCGCCATAGCAGGTGACGCACCGGAAGGGTCGCCCAGCGCATGAGCAACGACTTTCGTGCCCAACTGGGAGACACCGAACAGCAAACGAGTGCACGAGTTCCAGAGGCATGTAGCGTGTGCTAACGGGTCACACCAATGTTGAGTCATTGAGGGCTCCCAACGTGTCAAATGGAGCTTGTGCGTTGGATGGTAGTGCTCCCTGTCCCAAACGTCGAAAACCCCACCAGGCCCCAAACGGATTCATCCAATGTTGGCAGTGGCCAGTGCGAATGCTCACGGAGAGAGCGTGCCAGTGTCGGGGGATGTTTGGAGACTGGGAATGATGCGTGCATCAGGACTTGAGGAGGATCTGACTTGCATGTATAAAAAGGCTTTGGAGCTTAAAGGAGCTTAAAGGCGTTGGCTTCTTCGTGAGTTGCATCTTATGGAGCTTAAAGGCTTTGCATCTGACGCAAGCCCGCTAGCATGAGACGCTTGCAGGAGAGCACTTGGCGAGAGTGAGCTTTATTGTTTGGCAATTTGAGTGAGCCAATCTCCGAGTGATGGGTCCAAGACATGCAGAAACGTGCCAACCATGAGAACTCTTACGGGTACTCTTAAGGGTCTCTCTCTGGAGATTCCTGGGGGGTTGCCACATGTTGCCACATTCATCCCTCCCAACCGTTCGAGCCACAGACCTTTGCTTCCTCAGAGCAGATAAAAAGTTTAAAAACATCGGAACGGCAGGGCTTCGTCTGGCGGACCTTGGAGGTTTCGCCACACATGCGAGGCGTACCTGGCGAATGCGTGGACGCCAACACGGGGAGTCCCACCAGAGCCATCGAGCTTCAGATCTACAGCATGTCCAGCATGTGTCTATGATGATTTCATTCATTTCGGTGAGGAGAACTGAGAACGGTTTTGCTTTAATTGAATATTCTGAAATGGCAAACCCCAAGAATCCTGGGAGTTGGCCTCAAGCCACAGGTAACCTCCTTGCGGCTGCATACCTTCTGAGTATACAGCACTCCAAAGTATCCAATCCAGTGCGAATACCAACCAAAACAAACGGGGGGTCCATGCTACCAACAAGTTGCTCATCTGAATCTGGAGGGCAAGACAGGCGCCTTCCACCATACTGCTACCCAACAACACTTACCCGAAAAGAATGTTCAAGACATGCCGCTGCCAACTGGCTGGTAACAATCTGCGATGAGTTGCCAGTGCCTCGCAGATGGTGGGTCAAGAAAAAATATCAAATAAACTCCAGGAGGAAGAATGTGTCTCCCTCTCCAAGGAAGGGCCTTACAGCATTTGACATGCCTATCACTGAAAAGCCTGCTTTGGACCTTGTCAACTTTCAGGAGCCGATGGTCAAAAGGGATCAACATCGAATTGAGAGCAACACTGAGCCCGGTTTGTCCACAAATTGACAGTCCCAACACCTGGGGACTGAAAGGAATGTTATTGAACAAATGCTGAGGGTCCCTCAGAGTAGCGAGGCCAAAGATGAAAGTGGGAGACTGCGCTCATCTTCTTCAGCACTTTTCATCCACTGGAAGAAATGCTGAACCGACCTTGAAAAGTGCTAATTGAAAAGTCTACCTTTCGGTTCAGACTTTCCGAAAAAGGCGATTTGAAAAAGAAATGCTGAACCGACCTTTGTAGAGTAGCGAGCGTGCGCAGAGTAGCGAGCGTGCGTGGTTTGCTTCACCTGACACACCAGAACAATAGGTTGACGTTGGTGGGTGGGCAATAGCCAGACCACCTCTACTCCAAGGTACCAAGGTCTTCGCTCACCAAGGACTGTCGGTCTAAAGTCTAAAGGTATTCCTCCAGACATGTCTTCCAGACTCACCTGTGTTCATGCCCTGTATGGCCTGGCTCCCGGAGTGCCAAGACATAGCCCATGAAAGTGGCATTTGGCGGAGTCCACCTGCATCTGGAAGGAAGATGAGCCACAGCGATATGAGTCACCCTGAAAAATCTGAAAAGGTTTGTTAGGCATGTGCTTTTGGAGGTACTCCCAACCTTCGCAGGTGTCACCCCTTGGATCTACTAAATGGTTGAGGCAATGATGGAGGCAGTGATCTGCAGTGGTCTCACCAGCCAACTCTGCTCATCGGACTCTGCCGACTCTGCTCATCCGTGCCACCTTAGGGCGATGAAGGTCTCCCCCACCAGCGCGGCCTGCACCTGACCGCCGTCCGTACCATCGTCAGAATTGAAAGAAGCGACCAAATACTGTACGTTTATCCGGAAAAATTGCGAAGAGTATCCTCGTCACGGTGTCGTCCGCGGCCATGGCAACCGACAAGATGGGTGTAAACAGGTGTAAACAGATGTGTAACGTGGATCTCCCACAGGTGGATGGTGGCTCCCCCAGGTAACAGGTGACCATCTTTGGACCATCTTGTGTTCTGTTCTGTAATTATCCACAAGATGGTAAAAACACTACGGTTCTTCTTGTGTTCCGACTCGTTGGGGCTACAGCCCCCCTTCGTAGCGTCCACCCCCCACGCTTCCGAGGCCCCCAGCACGGCCGGGACGCGCCGGATCGAGCGCCAGGCTGCGGTGTGACCTGGATCCGCTGGGCGTGGTGGGGATCTGGGGATCAAACAGGGAGCGTTCTTCCTTCAGACAGGTTGAATGACATGTTGTTAGGGGTGAAAGGAATGATTCGAAAATGATCTTACATGTCCACAAATGGTTTGAGGGGTGCAACCTTCATGCCTTCAAAAAACAAAAAGGCATGAGTGGGCGGGTCGGGGGTGAGAGCACCGGAGCAACACCCGAAGACTTTGTTGTGTCGCTCGCAGTCGAACAAGCCACAAGGCAAGGAGGTGCTGTGCCTTCTTTGTTTACATGTATATAAACAAACGGTCATCTGAGTCTCTGAAGGCAGATCAACGGCTGATGGTTTCGGACATGCTCGAGTGTGTGCTGTGTTTTCTGGCTCACAAAACACTGCTCGACACTAAAACTGTTTTTTTGTGTTTAGTTGTGTGGCAATAGAGAGACTCCAAACAGGGACTTGGGGCCTTTGACGCCTTTGTTTCGCACGAATCCTTATTCTTTGGACCAGTACATAAATCGTTGAACCGGGACCTTGTTCGAGACACACTTCGGTGTATTGTGGAAAGAACTTTGGTTTCCGACTGGTCTTGGGTTGACTGGGATCGGGTTGTTTTGGGGTCAGGACGTTGACAGACCCAGTTAATCCTGCTTTCCTTCGTGCCCGTTCCACATGCAATGACCCCTATCAACGTCAAAACTGCTGTCACGGTAATAGGTTATAAGTAATATGCATCCCACAGAAATGGAGGTTTGACACCAGCAACCTTACAAATGATGTCTCTATATGGTACACGTATCCCTAGCTAAATCTTATGACGCCGCACTGAGGCTACGGACACTATGGGGCTTTGCTGTCCAACGCCCAACCTGTTGATGCCTCGGGTCGGCTTCAACACAGACTACTCTTGGTTGTGGGCTCACTGGAGAAGACCTTCTTTTTCTTGCCACGTCCTGAACTGAAGAAATTGCTGTATTCAGCGTGGGGAGCTGTCCAGGTGTTCAACATGTTTCACATGGTTTACCAAACAATTGGTATCCTGGATCATGATTTGCAGTGAAGATTCCTTGGAAATTCAGGCCAAGGGTGAGAGATATTCTCCACCACCCAAGGATCTGTATCTCCCATCAAAAGTAAGACCAACTAAAGGATCCATGTCCGATGAAGGGAGCTGTGGATGGACGTGATTCAAACATCCCTGGCAGTGTGAAAAGACTCCGAGCCTTTTCACTTCTGCCGCAAACGATGTTAGCTACTAGTAACAAGTGCCACGCTAGTAGTAACAAGTGCCTTACTA